CAACCAGTGGGGTTGGACCCGAAGTTGTTGATGGTCTGCAGCTGCTGGGCGGCGGCGCAGGAGGCGGCGAGGAGCCCGGCGAGGCCGTGGACGAGGCTGAGGGCGTGCATATTATCACGGTAAAATAGAGGTCAGATAAGTATAGGTCGTGCTTAAAATGTCAGGATGAGAGCCTACAAGCTTCAGTCTCTGTTGAATCGTTCTCGAGACTCGTATCCTCTCTCATCAAGATCGGTCCCATATTTGTAGGGCTGGCAATCATCCCTAAACACATCCACCCCCGCACGTCGTGGATGATCTCTTTGAAATGACAAGGGGTTGTCCCGTGGGGAGTCGGGTGCCTCGGCTGCACATCGCCCGGCGCAGATCCTACCGTCTTGCCTGATGAAGTCGAGATTTAGACCTCAAATGGTCAGGCGGCTCTTTCTCATGATTAACCAAATGGATCGCGGTCGGGGTCAGTGGTATTCTGGTGTTTTGCCAAAAATGTCGACTTGTTGGCAAAGAGAGGTGGCACATCGGCAGTAGGCCTCGGGAGTTGATTCATGTTGCATCGAGGCCGCCGAGGCGTTGTGATGTGCGGTCTTTGAAACGTAATTGGATCGTCTGGGTTGTTACCAGGCACCATGACACCCTCGTGCAGTTAGTCTATGGGATCTGCAGTGCAATCGGTGCGACAGGAGTCGGGACTATTCTCCTTTCATGCCCTACCAGCGAACGGCTGCCATGTGAAGATTGCGCTGTCCACTTCTTTGTGGTACACAGCTGCCCACTTTTGTCACGGAGATGGGAGCATGATGATGCAGAGACCAGTGTCGGTTTATGACTCGTCTGTTCGGGTTGAATGTGTTTCATTGGGTATATGCTGGAGGCTGGATCTAGACACTACAGAGCGCGACGAGCTCAAAACATTTCTCTAAAGTGTTGGAACACGGTTGTCTCGCTGGGTGTGAAGATATTTGTCGGGGCACCTCCGGAGCTGGGTGTCGGTAAGCCAGCGCTCGGCGGACCGTTGTACCCTTGCTCGGGACCAGCAAATCCTTTGACGGCCACGTAGCCTTCGAAAATCCGGCTCATCTCGCTCTGAATCCGCGTGCCGTTATTGGGCGATTGCGCATGCTCCATGTGAGGGGTTGTCTGCTGCGTCTGGATCGGCGTCGTGGATGAAATTGACGGTCGGCCAAAGGGACTGATGGGCGTAGGACTCGTTGTCGAAAGTCGTCCTCCCGTGGCCAGACCAGCCATGGTCAGAGCTGCAGTGCTATGCGGGTCGTCCTCCTGGCTATGTCTGAGGCCAATGCGAGGAGCCACCTCCTTCAACGATCCAATCGTCCGCCAGAGACGCTTCGAGACCCAGCTCTTGGCCGACAGGTCCTTCACCAGCTCTAGCGCCATGTAGAACTCGTCTCGGCAAGACGTACTGAAGCGTACGGGGGCGTGGACTGACGCCAGAAACAGAACCGCTATCGCCGACGTGAGGAACTGGTGGTAAAAGACCTGCATCTTGCGGTACAGGTTAGTTGTATTGTTGAGGTGACTCAAGTAGCGGATCGTATCTTTGGCCAGATCAACGACTCGATGAGCCTGCGGAAGGTTGCCCATGATGCTGGTGGCACTGTGCAGGATTGGCGTGTATAGCCAAGTGCGGATCTGTGAGAGATGGGTCAGCAATCTTTGATGCATTCATCACATCATGTGAGGCATACCTGATTGAGCCGGAGATATGTCCAAATACGAAGTCGTTGGAGATTATAGGATGGCGTTGTGGTCATCTGCTTCTCCTTATCCCAATTGCGCAGCTTGACCTCTTCGGGAACACGCTCGTACCACTGCAAGATCTCTTGATCGAGCTGCTCCATGTCGTGTTGCCTAAGCTCTCGTGCGAGAATAGGGCCAAAGTGGGCAACTTGCCGCCAGACTTTGGCGCAGAGCCTGGAATATGTGATCATGGCAATGAGATATGGATACTCGTCCTGCCAGGAGTTGCGTCAGTGAGTTGCCCGCAGAGCGTACTCGTGGGTCTTCAGCTTACCGGCATGGGGAGCTCAGGATCAATATCCTCATCCTGCACAACATATGGCAGGCCGGTACCGAAAGCCCAGCGGCGATCCAGCATGTATGCTGTCCAGAAGCTATTGAGAGCATTCTTTCTCTCCTCTTCGTTGTGGATCTTCATGAGCCCAGTCCTCTGATGAATCCCCCACTCAAGACACAACCTCGCAACCTGGCCCATGACGCGCCAGGCTAGAATCTCGTCATTAGACAGGAATCGGTACCCGGCGAGCAGGGCTAGCAGAGGCAGGTTGGCAAAGTCGCAGCCGTCAACCATGAGCTTCCTGTTGACGATTGCCTCCATGCTGTCATAGAGGCGGACAGCCCTCTCACTGTGACCATGTTCTTCCACGACCAGCGCGCAGCACATGAGCATTTTCAGCTGCAAGGTCGGCGTGTCCTCGAAATCGAGCGCCTCGCCCTGCTGCTTAGCCAACTCGATCGCGGCACAAAGGTTTCGCGCGTGGTCCATGACGGTCTGGATTTTGACGACGGGATACATGATGCCGACTTCCTCCTCGTGCAGGCGGCACAGGCGGATGATCTCATCACGACCGTACTCCCACAGCGGATCTGATCCAGCATTGGCCGATGGCACCCGCGGATTCGCATCTTCGGACGGCGCGTGATTGTCGTCTCCGTCTCCAATGCCTTTGTAGCCCATGTTGTGAATCGTATTATTGGCGACATCGAGGCTAAAGGCCATGCTCGTGGGGCCTCTGAAGGAAGGAGGTCTGGCATGAGCAATATCAGGCCGGTGGCTGGAAAGCGAGCTTGCCGGTGAAGCAGCCATGGTGCTAGAGGGCAGAGGAAGAATCTTGTCGTTGATTGGTGCGAGTCGAAGAGTTTCCGTGCGGAGGGTGTTCATACTTTGGTAGAGATTCTCAACCTGCTCTTGGAGATGTGACATTTGGTCCGTCATCCGTCGGTACTCTTCCGAGTCCTTGAATGTGCTGGAGCAGCAGTTCGGCGCATAGAGACACGCCAGATTGAGGTTGCCGCATCGTTGGCATGGTGTTTCTCCATTGCATTTGATCTTGCGCCGCTTGCATTCGTTGCTTCGGGGAAAGTTAGCAGGGGAAAGGGGGAACGGGTAGGGTGGCATCAATGAAAGGAAATGGCTCGTCCTCACCAAGCAATGGAGATGTACTACATAACACAGGTCAGTCATCAAGTCAGGGTACTCAAGTAGGGTCTCGTCATTGTTCGTAACAGGACAGACAGGGCAAGGGGGTGGCGGGTGGTAATATGTTGTGAGGCAGGTTGTACAAGCTCATGATACAACATGAACCGGCAAGACGGAAACAAGGACGACACACGACTTACTCTATTCCGTTTGCTCCGCTGCTGCTTTCCTCCTACACCCTCGTCATCATCTGGCTTTCTCTTTGTACCAGCGGCAGGCGAAGCAAGACTGGCGACTTCGGACAGTCCCCCTCCCCCTGGTAGGTGGGCGGAATTGTCTCCGACGGACGCGGAAAGAGGTGAGTGCGTCGAATGATTTGGGTGATTGTGTGGAGAAAAGGCTGGGCCGCCTGCGACGTTGGCCACGCTTGTGCCTGTGCCTGTGCCGCCGTGGCCTTGACGGTCTGCAGGCAAGGGGACAGGTGCCTGGGTCAGGTAGCGCAGGTCGCTGACCTGCGTCTCGATCTGCTCCATGGCATTCGGTCTCGCTGTTCTGCGACTGCGCGGCTGCGTCGGGATTGGGTCTTGAGGTGAGGCCCCAGGAGAACGCGAGACGAGAGAGTGACGGACCATAGCAGTGGCGCTCATCTTCCGCTGTGCCTCGACCGCCAAACCACGTGACCGGAGAGATAAGAAGCCGAGGCTGTTTACATAATCGTCCGTAGGTCCAGCACAAAATGCTCCGTCCTGGGTTGTTCTGTGTCTGTCATTTGATTGATTTCTTCTGCTCTGGCCATTGACTACTAGCTCACTGTGAGAGTGAAATTGACCGACTTGAGCTGACGACAGACATACAAGTCTGATGCATCCCCTTAGGCCAGGCCTGTAATGTTTAAGAGCACGGTCCAGCGGAATGTCGACCGCGATGGAGCTGGCCCAAGCTTAACCGTTTCCTCTGGGTCTTAGGTAATCTTTCAATGCATCTCGTCGAGTTTCTGTGTCAAAGTGGGGTTAGATTTCTGCCGGGTCTCACCACCAAAAAGTTCAGTAGCATGAATTTTTGGGTCCAGTTCGAGTACTGCGAAGCTGCATACACCACCAGTACGCTCATTCAAAATGGCCCGCCCAAAGCGATTCGAAGAGTTTGAGGAGAAGGCCGTCAAGGGTATGGTCTCTACATGAAGTTTCTTCAATCTTGCGCGCCTAACAAACCCCTGCAGACTACGATCCTGAAGCCGACTCGGCTGGCGAGAACGACCTGGTG